TCTGCCCAGAATTATGTGGATTTTAAGATTCGAAATGGGGCGGGGCGGGGGGACAGTGGATTCAGAGGGAGAAGATAAATACGAATTCCTAGTGCATTTAGTGTGCACATAACTGCGCCTTGGCTTCGTAACCAAGTTTCCGGTTACCTATGCACCGGGCCTCCACCAAACAAACAAACCATCCTTGGCTCAGAGAGAAACCAGAAGTGTGGGTATCGTCTGTGCAAAAGGAACCCATGTAGAGCGTGGCCGACAGCTGCGGGCAGCGCAGCCAGGCCTGGGAGGAGGCGGGCGGGCGCCGGCCGCTCTGCTCCAGGCCTGTGTTGGGGCAGATTCCTGAACCGCTTCCAAGGGGAATGGAGCGGGACTGGCCTCGATGCACCCCGCCCCACCCCAGCCTGCAGCCCCGGCCCTGCACCTTGCCTCCCACGCACTTTGGGAGCAGGGTTGCAGGCGTGTGCACGCTCGCCGCCCGCCCGGGACAAGAGCTTTCTGATTCCGCTCCAAACTGATCTATAAATACCTGAGTTCGCTGCAGCGCAGCCTGGCCTTCGAGGGGAATCGACTGGCACAATTCCAAATTAAGGGATGGCTGACGGTGCCTGCTGGGACCGCCGCCTTCCTTGCGCTCTCCTTGGAAGCCCCCAGAGTGGGAGCAGCAGGAGGGAGACGGATGACGTCATGGAACTGGTGGAGGATTTAGCTCAGAAACCCGCCTGGGAGGCCCGAGGGCCTGTGCTCCATTTAAGCCGACAATGTACCACTGTTGGCTCACTTTCCTAAACGCTTTCCACCTTTCCAGAGATCTAGACTGGCCTGGGGTTCTGAAAGAAATCAGTATGTGTTGTTTAGTTCACGAACTCTGAAGACGGGGCATGCAGATATGGGTGTCAAGGCTTTGACCGGCATAAGTCCGGCCACAGAGTCATTAGAATGCTACCAGCAAGGTTTCGGGTAGTGGGAGAATGATTTCAGGCCGAAATATGTTTCATGGCACAGGAAATACTAATAACTGTAGTAATAATGCAAAGAATATGGAATGTTACTGCCTCCCAAAGACTAATCAACACCTGAAGAATTGTTTATTCCCCCATCCCACCGACATCTTACAAATGACAAATTAAAACCCAAAGAGGGTAAGGAACCAATGCAGCTGGTAAGTGAAGGAACCAAGACTTACTAGTCACCTCATGTCTTTCAATCTCGAGGCCCAGGCAACCTCTTTCCAACATTGCATTGCCTTTTGGCTTCCAAATAGGCACATTCCAAAGGTGGGGGCATCTACTGTCCAATAGTCTCCAGGCTCCTCCCACCTCTTCTATTTTCAAGGAGAAAGGGACAATTTTTCAGAAAACAGAGTGAGGACTGTTGGCTCTTCCAGAGAGAGGTTGACTTAACCAAATTAAAGTTAACACTCCTAGCTCGTATGACTGGAGATGGAAGGGCAAGATACACTTAACACTGCAATAGGGAAGAAAGGTGATTTGTGGAATCTATGTCCCAAGAACTATGCTGTGCTAATGGTAAATATTTTTTTTAACAAAACTGGCACAGAACAAAGATATAATAATACTTATCTTCAACAATGATGTGCCATAACCGCTCTAAGTACTCTACAAGACAGAGTAGTGGTGGGAAATATCAGTTATTTAAATAACAGCTGGAAGTTTAATTTTGCTATAAGTCTAGCATCAGCCAAAGTCTCGATTTGCGTCACTGACTTTCATCTCCAAGGTAGGATCTGGCACCTGACGGCTGGGCTCTGCAGTCTAGCTCTGGCAGCTTGTAGAGTGGAAGTTGAGTGATCATAAGTAAGCCCTTTACCCCTGTGATACCTCGTCAGTTGTGGGTAGTAATTATGCCTCCTTCGTGGCACTCATGTGAAAATCCCAGGAGAGAATGTAAGTGAAGGACAAGCACAGTGCATAATCTTGAGCTACAAATATTATTACTATCTCCTCTCAGAAGGGAGGGGGCATTTTGGCCAGCAATGAAGAAACTGAGGTGAAGCAGAAGTAACAACAACCAACAGGAAAAGTGATGGTGCTATGTAGGAAACACAAAGACAATACTGAGCAAAGACCCGAGCAAAGCTCTTTTCAGAGAGTTTGGAGAAAAGTAAAGTCTGGCTCAGTGAAGATTCTAGCCTACCTTCCTAAATAAGAATATGTGCATAAAGGATGAAATGATGGAAGACATTTCAAAATAAACTCCTAACAAGTCATTAATTCTATTGAGAGGAAAAAGGAAAAGAGTGTAAAAAAGAATTACCCAATTGCAACAGGGCGGTCTGAATTGAGCCCGTGCCTTCAGGGGACAGTGCACATACTCACAAAGGCACGGGATGGGCATGTAACCAGATTTGAATGCACAAAAGCCAGCTGAAGGTCAAACATAGTGTTAGATGATGTTTGAAGCAAAAAAGAGCATAGAAAATACATGAGTTCTCATTCTTTTTCTGATAGGGATTGTAGAGTGGTCAGTTAGGAAATATTATTTGATCTGAGCATAACGTCTTAGGTTTTAGTGGAAAGAACACAGAGTTGAGGTCTGGAGACCAGGATACTAGTCTAGCTCCAACAATAGTAACTTGGGTGACCATAGGCCAAGTCCCTTAACTGTGCTGGGCCTTATTTATGAAAGATGGAGTATTTTCTTTTGGATCCCTCTCATCTCAAAGTCCCATGATTCCACACTGAAATTAAAAGTGGGCTGTTGACAGTTCAGTCCAGAGGATGGAGCACCAGTATGATAGCCACAACCCTAGGGCTATTTGGTGCACAATGTATGATGTGTTAAACTGATCAAAGAGAGAATGTAGTCCTTGTTTTTTTGCCCCTTATATACATGTATTAATGACTTAATCCCCAAATGATAGGGAGGCTATGGCAAAAGGTCATAGAATGAAGATTTAAATTAAATTAGATGGACTAGACTAGGCCTGGGCTGAAAGCCAGATGGAATTAATTGACATAAATGTAAAGCCCTATGTCTAAGTTATTTTTTTTTTCAATACCTCTATAAGTTCAGGATAAAGAAGAGCTGGCAGAGAAATAGGTGATGGGATCAAGGTGTAGGTGACGTATATGACTATGCAATCAAGCTAAACTGATACAGCTATCATTTAACTGCTAACCAAAGAGCTAGTGCAAGTTTGACCATATGTGCAAATAAGGATAATGAAAATGGGAGGCATGTCTTGAGCCCTTACATAGGTTTCCCATATTATCTCATTCCTTGTATCATAGTGTCATAGGATCCCAGCCCAACTAGTGTTCCTGCCATTGCCACTTGTGCCATTGGATCCTATCATTGGTGTTCCTTTTAATGCTGGGGGCCTTACAGAATAACAAACTGTAGTGTGTGCAAATCAGGACAATGAGGATGGGGGATGTTTGAAAAACCAAGTCCTACAGGAGGGGACTGAGAGAGTTGACAATGCTCACTCCAGAAAAGACACAACCAAATGGTGCAAATGGCCCAATGACACGGGCCCCTACTATCTGCCATCAAATTTGTGTACTTCCATTTGTAAGTTCTATTACTTTAAGCAAGTTACTTAACTGTGCTTCAGTTTCCCCAAATGTAAAAAGGGAGTAGTCATAGTAACTAACGTATAAGATTGTTATAAAGGTAATAAATGAGGTGTATATAAAAGCTCACCTGGCAGGTGGCAATACTTAACACATATGCGCAATGATGATGATTGCATCATGCATCTGGTGAGCTGTCCCCATGGAGGAGCAACAAGGGTCATTTTATTGAGCTTCAGAAGGGAGAATAGGACTTCTGGGCAGAAGCCAAGAAGAAAGAGCATGTGGTTCAACATAAAGAGACCTTTCAAATAATCAGAATTTCACAATGAACCAATGAGTTCATACTTACCAGAGGAGCTCACTCTACTCCATTTTATAATTGGTAAAGCAATCCATGGGGATAAAGAACAATAAATTAAGAGCATCAAAGAAATCAGAAGGTAAACAAATATGAATGGCAACAAGCCACACCTTTCTATTTCTCCTCTGTTGAGAAATCTCTAGAAGTTTAGATTTGTAGATAACCTGGAAGACCATGGGTTTTAGTTGCATGCTGTTGATTTTTTCTGACTCACAATAAGCAAGATGAAAAGCTTGGGCTTTGTAGTGAAATTCCCAAACTTAGAGCCCCTGTTCTGTTATTTATCGACTGTGCAACCTTAGTTCACTTCTCTGGGTCCAGTTTTTGCTTCTGTAAATGAAGTAAACTACCCACAATCCTGATGAACAAAAATCAAAGCTAATACAGTTCTTCCTGCACTGGAAAACATTATGGCAAAGTGGTCTGACTTTATCTGTATATGAGACAGGCAAATTCAAGCCTTCTGGCCTTTTGTACCTGGAGGGTAATTCAGGTGGTGGAGATTGGATAACAAAATAAATAAATAAAAACCGTGCTATGTCAGCAAGCACATATGCCAAAATTGCACTTACAATACAGATGCAGAGACAAGCAAATTCTGAAAGCCTTCCAAGTCTTAAAGTCTACTTTCACAGGAGGGATAAAATAAGAGGTGGTAAGTGAAACTTTCCTGTCGTTGTTAAGAATCTGTGTGTTCTGGACTCAGTGTACTGTCAAATCTTCACAATGTTTAGGGAAGGTCAGAATTGGTGATAATTAGGCTGGGCTGGAGAGCAGGTTTGCAATTAATTGTCTTGTGAACCATTCCTAAAGCCTATAGAACATCACTGGAGCAATGTGCCCTCTTCCCCGCAGCTGACCAAGGCTGGATCTCCCTCATCTCACTACCATGGTCAAAAGTATTAGAGCCTGAACAACTTTGCCCAGGATTCAGCTTCTTACAGAAGTGTGTTGGTGGCTGCAGGCCAGTCACATCCTTCATGAGAGACCCCATACACACACACACACACACACACACACACACACACACACACACACAGCCTTATATTGGAGTGAACTGAATATACTAACAGATGACCTTTTCTTTCTGCCCCTCCCCTCAGTGTGACGGGGTTGGGGTGGACCTGAGCAACATCTTCCTTGAAGGCATTGCCATTCTCAACATTCCAAGCATGTATGGTGGCACCAATCTCTGGGGAGAAACCAAGAAGAATCGGGCAGTGATCCAGGAAAGCAGGAAGGTTGTCACTGACCCCAAGGAACTAAAATTCTGCATCCAAGGTAAGTCAGGCATGAGGAAACCTGTTCTAGGTCAGTGCCCAGATGAGAGAGTATTCTGGTGGGTGGCATTCATGCTCTGGGGATACACTGACTCATTCTCCCTGATGTTGCAAAGTTTACAACCTAATTGAGAAGAGAAAATTAACAATATGGAGCTCTTAATGACAGTAGTCAAGTTGTGAGACTCCATGAGGTCAGGAGTCAAATGCTGCTCCTATCAAGGTTACAAGTGTCCTCCAATATTTATATCCAATAGTCATTTTCAACCTTGATCTCACGTCACCTGCCAGTGGCATTTGACCCAACTGATCACTCCCTCTTCCTGAAAATATGTGGCTTCTATGACTCCACACATGGTTTTCCTCCTAACCCACTCACTGGTTACTCTTTCTCACTCTCTTTTGTTAACACCCCATCTTCTCTCTAACCTCTTAACGCTGGAGGGTCACCAGCCCTCTTTTCTTTTCTGTCTATAATCACTCCCTTGATGACCTCATCCAGTGGTGAGACTTTATTTAAATACCACATGAGTGCCAATGACTCAGCTCATCCAAAACAGAACTGATGTCCCTCCCCCAACCTTCTCCACCCACAGCCTTCCCCATCTCAGTTGATGATAACAGCAACCTGCCTGTTGCTGGAGCTAACATACTTTGCATCATCTTTGACTCCCGTTTTTATTGCACATCTCACATCCAATTGATCAGAAAATCTGTTAGCTTTACTTTTAAAAGTAAAGGATCCACCTACTTCTCACCACTGCATTCCTACCACCTTGTGTGAGCCACCATCCTTTGTCTTTGAGATTACTGCAAATTCTACTAACTGAATTTCCTGCATGTGCCCCTGCCCTGTAGAGTATGTCCCACCACTGAAAAAATATGTCATATTATGCCACCCTCATGCTCCAAGTCCTGCAGTGACTCAGAATAAAAGCCAAAGATCTTCATATGGCCTGGAGGACCCCAGATAGTCTGGCCTCCCATCACCTCTGAGATTTTATCTTTTGCTACTCCCCCACTCACTCCCTTTGGCTTCTCAAGCACTGCAGACTGCTTCCATGAACAAACTATTCTTTCTGTCTGGAACAACCAGTTAGTGTGTCTTAGAAGCCATCAGTTGTGCCTTCTCCTTTCAATCCATCAGGCTTCTGAGAGCACCCTTAAAACTACCTTTACCTCTATCTCTTCCCAGACATTTCTATCAAAGAACCAAGTGGAGACTTAACAGAGCTCCTGGCAGCTCTGACTCCTCTGTGGATTGGAGGAAAGGGCCCCACTGATCCTCAGTGGTTCTCAATGGACTGGTGAGCTGGGTAGGCATTGGTAAAGACATCACACCAGGAGGCAAGAGGCTGGGTTCGAGTCCAAATGCTGCCAATAACCCATCTCTGTTTTCTTTGTTGTAAAACCTGTATCATATGTAAAATTTTGATAGCTGAATGGATAGAGGTTGAACCAGATCATTAGTTCTTAAACCAGGCCTGCTTGTTATAAATGAAGATTCCTGAGCCCTAGCCCAGATCTACCTAATTAATCTCTGGTTCCTGGTAATGAGCTCCCCAGATGATTCTGATGAACTGCCAGGTTTGAGAACCACTGACATAGACAAGTGTCCATGAGTCCAGGTCTGTCCCAAGCTATTGGTGCTAAGATTGAATGTAATCCCACCAGTAAAAGGAGACAGAGCTCGGCTGACCATCAAAGGGAAAGGTTACTTGCTTGTTTTGAACCCATCTTATTAGACAACCAAATTGTTATATCCCAAGGCAAGACCATCACCACACCTCCATGCTGAAAGAGAAGACTCAGGAATTTTTATCTGTTGCCTTCTTAAGTCCCCTTTATTTCACACAGTAAACTTCCCAAGTTGTGTAAATTATTAAACTGAATAATGTGTTCCTCCTTCCTCCCTTGGCAAGGGAAGTTGTGGGTGCTAGCAGTGGGTGGGGGGAGCACTGGAAAGTGTACAAAGTTCCTGGAAACTTTCCTGCCCTAGTGCTCCTGCCCCATCCCCAATCCCCACATATGCATCCAGCCCCCTCAGAACAGAATCAACAAAGACTCCTCCTCTCCCCCAAGCAGGGGCTTGAGAAAGCTCTTGATGAACACATGGTTGGGTTAAGACTCAAGGAACATTTTCCCCTTACATATCTGACTATGTATCTTCCCCTTCACGCAATAGTAATGTGTCTGCCCCTTACATATCTGACTATGTATCTTCCCCTTCACGCAATAGTAATGTGTCTGCTGATCTCTCTTGACCACCATGTCCAGGAACTGTCTTCCCCAAATCCCCCTTTCCCAGAATGTGCTTTCAGAGCTAAAAATGAAGCTACTTCCTGTTCTTTGGACTAGGTCATGAGCTAAGCAGAGTAGAGGCTGAGAAGGGGCCCTGGCTTCTGGGCTTTGCAAAGACACTGACATTGAGCTTTCTTTTTGAAAGGGTCATGATCTCATGTAAGTTGAGATGTTAATGGAGAAAAGCTAATAAGACAATCTATTTAGTGGAAAAACATTGGCCTAGGAGTCAAGAGACCAGGGTTCTGGTTCATATTGCTTCTCATGAGTGTGTGATGTTGGGAAAACCACATTCTTGGTTTTCAATTTTCATTATCTGTAAAGTAGGTGAGGCTGACATTCATATAAATTTCTATAGATTATATGATCTTTATGGCTCCACAAAATTAAGACATGGACAGGTTTGGTCTTGTAGACTCCTTGAAAAGAATTGTATGGCCATCTCTTCCTTCTTTTAGTGTGTTTTGTTCTACAGTTTATAGGCCAGGTGCTGAGAAGGCAAGAATCTCTCTCTCTGCATACTGTTCATTTTGGGGGATTCTTTACTCCTTAGTAATTTCACTAGGATTGGAGATGAGAAAGGAGTCAGAAAAGAGTAGTAGGAAGGAAGGAATTTATCATAGAAAGTGTAAGAGGAAATGACAATAGAAGGGATTAGTGTCAAATCTTTCTTATCATAAATCTTTCTTCTCGGAAAAACAATCCAAGAAAGAAAGTCATCCAAGATTAGAATGGAATGAATTCTATAGAAAAAATGGCTGATTAGAAAGCAATAAGGGGAACTGAGGAAAACACCAAGCCGTTAAATGACCTGGTTTACATTTACTCTTTATAGTTTTATAAACCTTAAAAAGTGACCTCACCTCCCTGAGTCTCAGCTTCCTTGTCTATAAAATGGACATAATATCGTCTAGTTTTTTTATGAAGATGATGAATATGTAAGTGCCTGGAACAAAGTTTAAGCTTGAATATATATATATTCAATAAACATATATATAATGTTTCCTTTGCCTTTAAGCCTATTACATGCTGAAGCATGACAGTGGAATTCCTGATTTTGAAGTTTTTATCATTAGTATTGCCATCTAAGTGCACTATCATCAAGAAAGAGCAGCACTCATGCCAAACTCCAGATCAGCCTTTGTTCTAGCACATTAAATTCATGTCATCAATTGTACTGTATCTACTGTCTCCTTTCCTCAACCTTTTATATTCCAAGGTTGAAAGATGGACATATTCAGCTTTGTATTCCCAGTGCCTGACCCAGTGCAGTTAGTCTAAAAAGGTTGTTAGATAAATGAGTAGTACATAGATATTGGTTCTTTTTAGTTTTTATAACACCATAAGATTAGTGACAGACTCTTATATTTGTATTTCATTTTGGTTTATAAATAGTTTTGCATATATTAACTTAATGTAAGTCTAACCAGGAAAACATGAGCAAGGACCTAACCTCTCCCATCTATATTCCTATTTCATATTGAGGCAAAACAGAGGCCCAGAGCAGGGATAGAATTTGTATAATTCATTTCCAGTGGTGGTATCGAAACCAAGGCCATGATTTCTAGCCTAGCCCCAAGTGGCTAGTATCCAGCTAGAAAATGTTTTTGCAGTCTTACCTGGTGTATTCTATAAACCAGGTACTCAGAAAATGAGAAGAATTTATAACCCAGTCCAGGAAAGGCTCCACATCTACTTTTTGAAATTCTGCTCCTCCTGCAAGGCCCATCTCAAGGGCCCACTCCTTCCTGGGGCCTCTGGATGTGAGTCCAGCCTCTGAATTCCTAGAGCATTTAATTTCACCTTCTGACTTGACAGTACACTGATATTGGTTTCCCTTCTCCATAGGCAAGCGCATCTTCATCATATCTTCTGCCAGTACCAGGGAGGATGTATTTGTCTTTGTGTTCCCTTCAAAGACTAACATCCTACTTGGCTCACATTGTCCCACAGAAATGTTTGTTGGAGGGAAGGGGAGAAGGAGAAGGGGTCCTGCCTCAGCCTGCTAGTGGAATGGGCAATAGATTCTGGAGCTGGACAGGAACAAGCACTTAGTGAAAAATCTTGAGGGTAAAATAGTCTCATAAAAAGTTATAGGTAAGTATAAGTGAGACTGTGAATTTCACCTTTATAAACTCATTTGATAAGTAAGAGGTGTGCTGGCTATCTTCAGATAAGTAATACAAATATAACTTAGAAGACTTGTACTTGAGAGTCGGTGTAGAGTAAGGGACTGAACATTGAACTAGAAGTTAGAAGACCACAGGCCTTCACACCACCAACCATGTGATGCTGGTTGAATCATTGAACCTCTCCACTGAATCATTGCTATAAAATGAAAACAATTAGAGTCTCTCCCTCAGCATTGTTTGAGAGTTAAAAGAGATCATCCATGTAGGGTACTTAGCAGAGTGCCTGGAACAATGTGAGCACTTGATCACTAGTAATCAGAATTATCATTAAGTGATAAGTGGACAGTGATAAGTATTTAGTATATGATTTTTTAAATGGGCCAAATTTAGAATTTTACTGTCTTGAAGACTGCTTCAGGAATTTGATCTAGATTCTCTTTAAATTACTCGGGGCTCTAACAACCTGTAACTCTAGAGTTATTTGTCACTGTGCTGAAGTGTTTGGCGATTGCTGCCAATGTGGGGATTACACAGAGCCAGCTGAGCAGTGAAGCAAGTTGAGGAAAAG